TCTAAAATATTTGTCATTTTATTTTTATATTCATCCTCATCCATTGCTACGGTTTTGTTGCCCTTATCCGACGATAGAATTTTAATATTTATATTTTCTTTCAGTAATTTTCGTGTATGTTCCACTGTGTCCAGTATTGCTCGATCCCTACTGTTTTGGTTGTTCTTGGTTTTATGCTCTTGACTAACAAAGAGAATTTTGTGCGCGCCGACTCTTGTGTTTCCTTTTCTTTTATTGTTTGCACTAGCTCCTCACCGTCTGCGATGTATTTCAAGAGAGGAAAATCTCTCTTGCTGATTGGGAGAGCGAACTTCGGCCCTTTTGCGAGTAACGCTACGACGTTTGGCGGGAATTCTATTTTTTTTTTGTTTACAAACCACTCTCTTTGAGTGTTGTTGTCCGCTAAGGCTAGGTTCCGTTGATCTCGTAACTTATCGTGTTTCGTTTCTTGTCTTTTCTTGAGTGTTGTTGTTATTTTGTTTTCTATATTTCTCTCGCTCTCAAAAAACGCTTTTGCGTCATCTGTGGTCATCAGTTGTTCTATGTTTGTTTTTGCTTTTTCCATATGTTTTGTTTGTTCTTGTAATAGGTTGTGTTTGTGTTTTATAAGTAAGTTTAATATTTTGGTATGGTAAAAATGTGTGTGTCTAGTCAATGTTCTTGTTATGTCAGGGTGGGTTTTATTGTCAGTGGTCAGTATGGTCAAATGCTGTGTCAAGTTTTTGATAAAGTTAGGTATTAAATTTGATTTTCTACATTTTAACAAAAATTTTAAACTAGATTTAAGTTTAGTTAATTTTACCAGTGTTAGTTGGACAATGGACTCTAGGTACAACATCAAGAACGCGGTAGATTTTAAAGACAGAGTCAACAACTCCCAGATTAGAGAAGAGGAAACATTAGTATCTTTTGACGTAGTATCCTTATTTCCCAGCATACCAATAGAATTAGCACTTGACACAATAAGACAAAAATGGACCAAATTAGAAGAGCACACGAATATACCGAAACAACTATTTATGGACATAGTTAGATTTTGCATACAGGAAAACAGATATTTCAAATACGAAGACAAAATATACACACAACTTAAGGGAATGCCAATGGGATCACCGGCTTCCCCAGTAATCGCAGATATATTAATGGAGGAACTGTTGGACAAGATTACAGATAAATTAAAAATAAAACCAAGACTCTTGACCAAATATGTAGATGACCTTTTTGCCATAACGAACAAAATAGACGTGGAAAATATTCTAAAAGAATTGAATTCCTTCCACAAACAGATAAAATTTACAATGGAATTAGAAAAGGACGGGAAATTACCATTTTTAGACTCTATTGTAAGCAGAATGGACAACACACTCAAAATAAAGTGGTATAGGAAACCCATAGCCTCCGGACGAATACTCAACTTCAATTCAAACCACCCAAAGAGTATGATAATCAATACAGCACTAGGCTGTATGAATAGAATGATGAAAATATCGGACACAATATACCACAAAGAAATTGAACATGAAATCAAAAAACTCTTGACCAAAAATGACTTCCCCCCAAATATAATCAAAACATTATTAAAAAGACGACAAATCGAAAGAAAAAAGCCAACAGAACCTGCTAAAATATACAAATCACTAATATATGTACCACGACTATCAGAACGCCTCACAAACTCAGACTGTTATAACAAACAAGATATAAAAGTAGCACACAAACCGACGAATACATTACAAAAATTCTTCAACAAGATAAAGTCGAAAATCCCGATGATCGACAAAAGCAACGTCGTTTACCAAATACCATGTGGCGGGGAAAACAACAACAAGTGCAATAGTGTCTACATAGGTACAACAAAATCGAAGCTAAAAACAAGGATTAGTCAACATAAATCGGACTTCAAACTAAGACATCAAAATGATATACAGAAAACAGCACTTATGACCCATTGTATAAAAAGCAACCACACACCAAATTTTGATGAAACAACAATCTTACAACAAGAACAACACTATAACAAGCGACACACATTGGAAATGCTACACATAATTAACACACCAACCAACAAACGACTAAACTACAAGACAGACACAGAAAATTGCGCTCACTTGTACAGACACCTCTTAAACAGCCAAACAACCTCAGTAACAATCTCCACGTCAAAAAGCGCAGACGTGTAAAATAATGTATGTAAAATGTTCGAAATAATGTTTAATTTATTGTATTATAATTGTTAATTGTTTTTTGTATCTTGGTGTTAGTGCCCTGAAGACGGTTTGCCGATGTGCAACCGAAATATATCGGAAGAAAATTAAAATAAAATTGTTTTCATTGTTTGTTTTAACAAACACGGACCTCGAGCCAGCCAACAAATAAATATTGAAATATGGAAAGGTCGCCAGAGCCATCAATAATTAACTTCTTTTTGACAAAACTTGCTTTTTTCGACGTTAATAGTTAACCCGGCATCCTTTATTTTGCAAGCCAATGCAGTTCACACGGCCAGATGACGGTTGTAACACTTCGTTTCTCAAATAATCAGGAATTATTCTATCCATCAATTCGGGTGTTAGACATCCCAAATAGCATCACCATATATTGGTAAAGAGGTCTATCTGGTACTGTAAATGCTGTTTTGTCACTAGAACTAGGCTATAAGGGTATTTGAAAATAGGCAAATAAGTAGAGACTTTTAATATAATCGGGTTTGAGAAGACGACTAAGAATTTCATTTATTTGTGGATAAGCAGCCTTTCGAGAAACCTCGTTAACTTTTCTACAATCGATATAGAGACGAACCTTGTCTGGCTTACAAACGAGCACCACTGAAGTATACCAAGAACTCTCAGATTAATCAATAACGCCAATGGAAAGTTCTTCTAACATAAGTTTCTTAATCATGAGCAATACCGAATAGTAGCGTTGTTTGATAGAAATTGGAGGAGGTCCTTAACTTCGCGTTCCTCTAGGCGTTTGTGTTTTGCGAACAGGAAAAATATTTTTCTTGCCCACTTTAGTGTTATAGCACACACGATGGAATGTGTGCGCAAAACTGGTAGCTACCAATTGCGTAGAAAACTCAATCGTTGGAAGGTAACTGTTCTTTTTTAAGCGAAGCAGAAGCTAGGTTTTCGCAATAAAAATATAAAATCGATAAATAGAACGAAAATAAAAAACAATATTCCATAAAAATCTAGTCGTTTTCATAAAAGATAACTATTTGCATCAGCTTTATAGCCGATCAACTTGTCTAAAGAAAAAAGTATGGGAATGAGAAAACTCAAATTTAATAATTAAGCGGGAAGTATCAGCTCTACACCAAGCGCACTTGACTGCTGCAATTACTAATATCTTCTTTCCTTTCTCAACAAAAGGCAATGGTTAGATTGAGATCCGGTTTACAATTATATTATGTGACCAAGTAGGAGATCAAAAAGGCATATGCACAAATTCAGTAAGGAGGAAAGGCATAGCCGTTGCCTAGGTAACGACTTAATGAGGAAGTGGCGCGTACTCCATAGGTAAACAGAAGGATATATTTGGTCAGTGTAGAAGTATGCGGGATGGCCGCAACACATTAAGAAACAATCATACATGGAATAAAATGGGTTTGTAAATGTAGATCGCGAACTTAAGTATAACCAATTTAAGTTAAAACGCATCCAGTTAATCTTAACAAAACACAGTTGTTGTTTGCTATAATAAGTCTTGGCAGTTACGCCAATTAAAAGATGTAGCTGATCCAAAAAGAATTTACTGCAAATAACAGAACAATGGGTAGTGACGAAATCAATCAAACTGTGTCTTGTTAGGTATTGTTGTCAAATGAAAAGAGTTATCAGATGGGGCCAGTCAGAATGGCTGCTTCCTGGAACTAAGTTGGGCGCCAAATATAATTATAATATATAATATTGTAACATACAACCTACACTAATCGGCATAAATATTTTAACGAAACCTTTTTCTGACTATTAAGCCTAGCTTAGCTTAGTATCGTTAATAACGGTCTATTTTTAGCTTTATGCATGGCAAATTTTATATTATTTACCTTTTGCATTCTCTTTCTGCTGATAAGAATATACGGGGACACAAATTTTTGCGAGACATAAGTATTTTGACAGAATCTTTGTGTAAATTTGTTTGAGCCTTAGTGCACGTTAAGCCCAAACAACTTTTGTATTTAAGTTTAATTGATATTAAACGTTTATAAACATTAAAAATTGATTTAAATGTGTTATTATAAGGGTCTGTCTGTCCGTCTGTCCGTACGTATGAACGCAAGGATCGCAGAACCTTTAAGAGCTAGAGACTTGAAATTTTAGATGCAGGTGCTCCTAGTGCCCGCACAGATCGAGTTTGTTTCTGATAATCGATAACTTACTCCGTTACCAAGCAATCGATCAAAATCGATATCGATATCCTGTTTTTTGGGCAATTTTGGTAAATAATAACAGCTAGAGTCACCAAACTTGACATAAAGCTTCTAAAATAGAATATATATATGCATTTGATGTTGGAAGAAGAGGGTTCAGGGTATCCCCTAGTCGGGAGCTCCCGAATAGAACCTCTTACTTGTTTAATGTGTAAAGTTAAAGAAACGAGCGCGTAACGCAAGCTACATGTGGTGTTTTGTAGAAGAAGTTTCGTGGAATCTCCTGGTCGGACACTCCTGACTACAGCACTGTAAGCACAGCTTATTTAGGAAAAAATAAATCATGTCTCATTCCTAAAATCGCCGAGTTCGATATTCAGTCGTAGGGCTTAAAAATATTATGGAGGATATAGATATGGTGGGATACCTTTGCGTTAAAGAAACAGAGACACGACGTTGCTCAGCTAAATTAAACATTTGATACCTTATGCCCGCCTCCTTTCTGTTTACAGTGTTCTGGTACGGGCAAGTTGCTTTGCATGTGTTTGCTTACTTCACAGACTTCCGGATTGCGACTTTAAAAGTGAGTCAATAGGTAAATGTACTAATTATTAAGTAAAATTGTTACCTGGTATGGGGTATTAACACTTCTTTGGCATTAACCCCACTCGCGCATGAAGATAGAGGTATAACTGTTATATCAACTTTATCGGGCGTAAGCGCAGTAGGATCTTGTAGGGCATTTGTAGTTGATTCATCGCATGGACACACGGAACTGTCCGCTTCTGCTAACAAGATATCTACGGAAGTCTCTAAGTGGGCAAACCTCGACTTAGGTGATTTCCTGCATTGTTAGAAAAAAAAACAATTGTTAAAAAAAAAAAAAAACAATTATATCGCCAGTACTATAATAAACGTTCTCGATTATGCATGACTCTTCCCTAAGTTAAACGTTTATCTAAAAATCCGAATCTCAAATAAAAGGTCCTGGGAAAACGGCTAACGATAACGGAAGCCGAGAGTGGTAAATCCAAAACTGGGCGGTTGCAAAAATCCCTGCAACTATGCAATGTTTGATCCTTAAATGTGTGTTATACATGTACAATTTATTGATCGCATGGCTACCAAAAAGTTTTCTTACAGTCCTTTTCCAAATATTGTTCCTTAATTATGGGCATATTTTTCTAAGATTTCGTCAAAGTGTAAACTTACGCCACATAATATAACTAGAAGCATTAAACCGCATTGCCAAGGTCACATCATTTACTTTTATATCCTTAACTAATGATCTGATCTTTATTAATGGCGTCCCTGCCTGTATGGGTGCGTCGTATAGCGTATGCGTCCCCGGCGACGGTATATACGAGTGGCTGTTTAGTCGTTGCGTCACGTGGCTTAGCGTTCTTTGAGCATATGTTTGAGCTCGTGATTATTCATTCGATGCACGTCCTTAATGAGCGCTTAGCTTATTGTATGTGCGCTCTGGGCGTCTGGATATTCGTGTGGCTGTGTGTCTGTGTGTCTGTTTTTGTCACTGTCGCTTCTGTCAGCGATGTGATGTGCCCACTTGACCATAAATCAGGCTAAGGGGATCCCCTCTCTCTAGGTTAACCTATCTTGGTTACTATCACACCTAATACCTAAGGAAAGCGCCAAGAACACAACATTTTTTATATTTTAGCTGATAATTAAAAAGAGGTGGAATTCAATAAAGCACATTCATAGAAAGAGAAGTGCTCGCATCTTACCTGTATGGAATCTCACATAGGTTGTCTTGGGAGTGAGAGTGTGGGACTTGGGAGCCAGTATTTGTATTGCCAGCAATGGCGCCTAGCTCAAGTGCCGAGCTAGTAAGGCTACGATCACTACCCCGACGTAACGGGGTACCACCAGAAGGTGGTACATGGGTAATGGAACCGCTAGCTGTGACGGCGTTATTTGTAACCTTAGTCATTTCGCCTTGATTTGGTTGACATGAAAGAGCAGCAGTCATCTTTTTCTTGGCTCCACTTACAGCGCCAAAATAAAAGAATCGTTTTTTGTGCGAAGGCTGGATACCACTGTCAACAAGACGTTTGTAGTGCTCGGAACGGACAAAGCGTGGATAACAATCCTTTTTCAGCAGCAGCATATATATATGCTCCGATGCCGAGTCAAAAGTGAAACGCGAAGGATTTTTAAGACCACGAAGAACACTTTCCATGGTTTTGCCATCGATGTTGATTTCGCACGGCGCTCCTGGCTTAAGGAACTCTCTGTAAATTACAAATCCAGTGAGAGTACGGTACAATTAATCATTAAAATTATTTTCTTACTCATATATCTCGTTAACCTTGCGCTCCACTTGAGAGTGTGCGGAGCGGCGGAGACGATTCACTGCAATCCAGAAACGTATATTTTCGTGAGAATACTCTTTTTCCAGAAAAGTTGTAAACTCTTGCAGTCCCGTGGGATCAGAGATGAGCTCCTCTATGGAAATGGCCCAGCGTTTCACGCGCTTTTCAGTGGGTATATCTACATAGGTGCTGTTTAACTGCCAGAAGGCAATATCCTCAGTAACCCAAGGGTTTGAGGGCAGCGCTGGTTGTAGAAAGAAATCGTACTCATTAAACGTCTCCGAGTAGGAAACAAGAGATTGACAGGCTTGTGACATTTTCATGCGTGTTCGATTTAAAGTCTTTATCAGAAATTCCACCTCACGTTGTATATCATCTGGAGTCTTTCTTTTACTAGGTTTCTGGCCCTGGCGATCCCGCGACGGCACCGGACAAGGCTCGAGAGGCGTAAACAGGCCGGGTGGTGGACGGTGAACGCGCCAATAAGCGCGCTCCTGAGAGTCGCCAACAATCTTGTCGCCTTTTTTACGCTCCTTGGCAAGTCGAACCTGCTCCTCGGCTTGCATAGAAATAAAGTCCCACTTGCCTTTCAGGTTCTTATGAAGTGAAGCGAAAGCCTCTGCCTCATAGTCCTCTAGTGCATGGCGCTGCTTGTTGCGAAGTGACCGCTTTGTTAAATAAATGGCATACTCGACATTGTCCGGTACCTTGTGTTGCCAGGGCCAGTAGTAAGGTGTTTGGAAGCGATAAAGTGACGAGTCATCTTTTACTGTGAGAGTCTTGGAGTCGTTGACAGGGAAAAAGTAGCCATGCAGACACAGTTGATTGGCAATATTCAGTGCTTCTGACTCCTCTATCTGAAGATGGTCCATTAGCCACTCAATAAGATCGTACCCTGTGTGGTAATGAATGTGTTATATCGAAATTTTCAAGTTTTTTCACACTTAATTATGAATCTTACTTACCCATGAACGCATATGGAATGGATGTAAGGAACATCTTCTGTTGACGCACTGGCACACCATGTTCCTGGTCTTGCATCTCTCGCACCAGGACTTCCATCTGAAAAGTCAGGATTACGAAATATCAAATATTACGAAATTCGGGATAAAATTTAATCAAATAAGATTGAGGCTAACAGTTCTATATATTTTCAATATTCTACTAAATGTAGTTTTTAGGACAGATCGTATTTTCTTGAATCGACGGGACTTTGATAAATAATATCCGGGGAGTGAAAAACTATCGGATGCATATATTTATAAGCATGATCTCTTATCCAAGCTCGCTCAACTTTTAAGAAACTTTTTACTGCTCCATTTTTGTATACCCTTAAGCCATTAAAAATGCGTAAAAAGGATAGAATGATTGTGTGCGAATGTTTGCAACGAAGGTCCTCCTGGCGTTCCTTTTTATATCCTGAACTCATCTTCGACCCCATAAAGTATATATATTCTTGATCAGCATCAAGAGGCTAGTCGATCTAGCCATGTCTGTCCGTCCGTGCGTCTGTCCGTCTGTCAGTCCTTCCATCCGTTCATCCGTCTATATGTATGAGCGCAAACATATCAGAAGCTATAAGAGCTAGAGAGTTGAAATTTTAGCTGTAAGCCCTCCTAGTACCTGCGCAGATCGAATTTGTTTCCGATAATCGATAACGTACTTGGATAGGGACTAAGCAAATCGATAAAAATCGATATCGACATTCTTGTTTAAGCAAATTGGGTAAATATTGAGAGCTAGAGTCACCAAACTTGACATGTAGCTTCTAGAATATTATATATATAAATCAAGTATCTTTCATTTTATATCTATTGGCACCTTCCCACTAACACCACAGAGATATAAATCAAGTTAATAACCGAACTTATATTGCCCACCAATTTAAGGCACAATTTGAATGCAATTGAATTTTTGAGAATACACAAATACTCTATAGTACAATAAAATATACTGTAGAAAATTTCATTAAGATCGGATAAGAACAACCGAAAGTTAAGTTTTACTGCGCAATTGGATGGGGCGCAAATTCCAAGAATTTCTGTATACATGTAAGTTATTTAGGTGTAGTAGCAGGTAGCCGTGGGGATCCCGCGTAGCTGCTGATTGTGAATTCCAGGTCCAGCGTCGCTTCCGTGAGGAAGTCGATCCAAGGTGAACACTGATACGATTTTTATGATGATTACGTTGGAGGACTTGACTTCGTCCCCTTTGGTGATTATTGCCCTTGTGGTGCAATAATGTGATCAATAAGAACAAATGTTACGGTTATGAGCCGGAGTACGAAATAGACAACTTGTGTCTTCTTTATTAAAAAGCGAACTAAAGCTAAAGACAAATGCAAAACATAATTCTACTTAGCAAGGACCACAGTCGGCATGCCGACTCAGCATTCTCAGCGTCGCAGCACACCAGCAAAGAAGTGTCATGCGATCGCTGCTGATTGTTGCCAGTGCAGAGCACTGAACTCACAATTTGGCGTGTCAGCATCATTCATGTGTTGTTGCTTGGTTGCTATAGTATTTATGTGTTAACTTGTACACACACGCATTCATGCGCGTCTGCTTCGATTCTATCAACAGCATTGCAATTGCGATTGTTTTCTGTGCTGCTATTTTAATGCGTTTTTTTCTCAATAATACTTAATAATTGGTGTGGCTGTTGAGTAGAGGCATAGTAAGTGGTGCGGTCTGTCGCGGGCTCGAGCCCTATCGGGGAAACAGTTTTTATACCATGAACCCATTGAAAATGGGTAATATGGGTATATTGTATTTGTGCAAAATTCAAATGTATGTAACAGATGTAGATGTAGGTGCTCCTAGTGCCCGCGCAGATCGAGTTGGTTTCTGATAATCGATAACTTACTCCGTTTCCAAGCAATCGATAAAAATCGATATCGATATCCTGTCTTTTGGGCAATTTCGGTAAATAATAGGAGCTAGAGTCACCAAACTTGACATATAGCTTCTAAAATAGAATATATGTAAATATATATATATATTTGATCTTGGAAGAAGAGGGTTCAGGGTATCCTCTAGTCGGGAGCTCCCGACTAGAACCTCTTACTTGTTTTTTTTTTTGGCTTGTGTGGCTGTTGAGTAGAGTCGTCAGCAAGTAATGCGGTCAGTTGCGAGTTTGAGCCCTGCCAAGGGAACTTGTTTTTTTGAATTAATCTTTATTACTTTAAACGAGCGCGTTGCGCGAACTGCATTCGATGTTGGAATAAGAGGGTTCAGGGTATTCCCTAGTCGGGAGCTCCCGATCAGAACATCTTGTTCTTATTTGCTTTTCATAAATTATTTTCTATGTAAGAACGAATCTTTGCAAAGTCATCGGTTTAAGTAAGTGGTATGACACTCTCACTAAATAAATATACATTTTTCAGCAGGTTATAGTTATGGCCATAGGTGATGATATATTAAACAAGGACTACAAAAAAGGGATATAATCCAATCGATTGGTGAACCGAATTTCTTTAAGTACAATTTATTTTACGGAATATTTAGAAATCAAGGTAGCAAATTCATGGCGTTCAAAATAAGTCCCATTGTCAATGATAATTATTTTTGGAACAGCGAAAGAGAAAACTATTTTAATCAGGTATGCAGTCGCTACACCCGAATTAAACCTATTTATTGACTTGAAAAAGGTAAATGTAGAGAAGTGATATAGAACGATAATAATATAATAAATATATGTTTCCTTCTTAGTGCGGGGGAAATGTCCAATAAAATCAAGAATTAAACTTTGGGATGGCCTCTAACTCGTAACTTGACTTCTCATAGGAGGTTTAAGAATATAGGTAGGATGTTTAGAAGTTTGACATAGTTTGCAATTGCTCATGGAATTTTGCACATCTGTGACCATTTTTTCCCATTAAAAACTACGTCGAATGCGCTCTAAATATCTCGCAGGGCGCCGATGACGGCGGATCGGGACACGAGCTGATCACGGCTTTACGCAACTCTTCAGGAGCAAAGCACTTCCAGTAGTCATCAGCATTTTTAAATTGCTTGGAAAACAACTACTGTGAGAGATGTTGTCATCGGCTACCTGAAAGTCTGGTCAAATAGATAACCCGAGATTTTTTTAAGGCTCGAATACTTTGGTGATTGAATGCCCTCGGATTGTTATCAAATTCGGCGATTTTATCTACTACTTCAAATCAGCGTAAAATAGCGTCGGGTAATACATATTCTTTTCCCTTTCGATGCCTCATTACAAACTGACTGACTCTGACTGATTCAACAACCAACGAAGGCTTGTATGGTAAGTTACTGCTTTAATCGAATGTCCCTTAATATAAAAACGATATATTATGATAGCAGTGACTGTATAGTTAGGTTGAGTTTTTTTTAGCTTTTTCGTCATATCCCGATTCATCGGATTGTGCTAAAAGCCCACCTGCGCCATAAAGAGATGCGTTAAATTTTACGATGAATGGTTTGCTAATATAAGGACATATTTCGAATGGTGCTCAGCAGAGTTGAGATATTATTTCCTCCAATGCAATTTGGGAATTCCCATTCCACTTATATGGCTTATTGACTTGAAGTTGTGAGAATTAAGCAAGTAAGAGGTTCTAGTCGGAAGCTCCCGACTAGGGAATACCCTGAAACCTCTTATTCCTAAACCAAATGCTACATCTTATTGTGCCATAAAATATTTTGGTATTCTTGAAAAGTCAATTACATTTAAATTGGTGGGCAATACAAATTGGATTATTAACTTGTTTTATAGCTCTGCGGTGGTAGCGGGGAGATGGCGATAGCTATAAATGATGTTCAGTTCTTAATAAACATAAAAGATATCGGGATTTTAATTTCACTTTTGATTTGACTGCATAACTGAACTAAGCGAATAGTTCATGACCGACTAAATAGCTGAGCAGAGTTCATCGTTCATGACTGACTGAATAGCTGAACGAGTGAACTAAATGACCGATTTAGAAAATGAACGAGTGAACTTATTCAGCAAATTTAACTAGAAATCCCCACTCTAATATTCTATTCTAGAAGCTACATGTCAAGTTTGGTGACTCTAGCTCTTATTATTTAAATAATTTGCTCAAAGCACGGGATTTCAATATCGATTTTTATCGATTACTTGGAAACGCGAAAAGTTATCGAATATCGGAAACAAACTCGATCTTCGCGGGCACTAGGAGGACCTTCAGCTACCATTTTTAGCTGGTAAAGGTTCAGATATCCTTGCGTTCATACATACGGACAGACGGACGGACGGACAGACAGACGGACATGACTAGATCGACTCGGCTGTTGATGCTGATCAACAATATATATACTTTATGGGGTCGGATATAACTCCTTCTGCCTGGTACATACATTTGAACAAGTACGTTATACCCTTTTTACCCATTTTTAATAGGTTCAGGGTATAAATATGCTAGTTGGATACTGAACAGTAAGTCATTTGTGCCACGTAGTCATCCCCAAAGTTCTTCTCAGCTGCTTCTGAGTTTTAGGGACCAGAAATTCGGCAACAGCTCGAATTTTATCAGGATGAATGTGCAATGTGCCTTCTAGTCTACCTTTTTGAGGCAGAATTGAATTTCTCGATGTTTATAGTTAATTCTGCTTTACGATTTGTGTGGCAACCTTAGCAAGGTGCAACAAATGTTCCTCCAACTCCTTTGATTGTGCAAACAGATCATCAAGATACACTAAGACATGTGACTTTCGCTGATATGGAATAACTTTGTCCATAAAACTCATCATTTGGGGGCATTTTTTAATCCAAATGGATTAAATCATCATTTGGAAGCCATCGTTCCCATGGCCAAATCACGGCGAGGAGATTTGGGTAGCGGAGTTGTCGTGAGGCCACGGCCAGGTAGAGTAGTTGGCGCGAGGCCACGGCCCGCTAGAGTAGTTGGTACGAGGCCACGGCCCGGTAGTGTAGGTGTGCAGAAATAGAGCTAGGCTTGGTCTGGTCAGGATACTTCCTTTTTAAAGGGGTATTCTTAGTCGAGTATACCCTAGAGCGGAGAACAAGAGAATGAGGATATGATATATGTGTGAAATATAAAACTAGAGGATTAA